GAGAGAGAGAGAGAGAGAGAGAGAGAGAGAGAGAGAGAGAGAGAGAGAGAGAGAGAGAGACGTTGCTCCATTTTGACTAAGGTTAGGACAACGGACTTGATATGTGCTCAACAGCATGACTGTGAATCATGCCGTTCAGCACATATCACGTCCGTTGTCCTAACCTTAGTCAAAATGGAGCGTGCGTGCTGATGGCGGTCGCCTTGTCTTGTGTCAGAAACTTGAAAGTAGAGGACTTTGGAGAGAGAGAGAGAGAGAGAGAGAGAGAGAGAGAGAGAGAGAGAGAGAGAGCCCAACACGGGACTTCATATGTGCTGAACAACATTACTGTTATTCGTGAATCATCTCTAGCATTATGTTATCAACCTCTCTCTCTCTCTCTCTCTCTCTCTCTCTCTCTCTCTCTCTCTCTCTCTCAAATGCATATGATGTGACATACAGATCTGTAATATATATATTTGTTATTATCGTACGTCGTTTGTCAACTGCGTGTGTGTGTGTGTGCGACAAATATGTATAGACACACCTTGTGTTTCTCACCTTTCATTATGCAAATCCGTTGCTCTGTTGCTTACGGTGAAGCTTTGTGTTTTCGGTAGCTTCATCGACTCCCAATTCGCTTCATACGACTATGTGGTTGGCGCAAATGATTTCCAATGCTACCATTCCACGAAACTCCGCACGGGGGAGAACGTTTATTATTACGAGTCGCAAAATTCGGTTACAGAGCCTGTCGAAGAGATGTTGGAGTACAAAGACAAACACAAAATGGAGTATCGGCATTTTGTTATCGCCGTCGAGGACAAACGAGTAATAAGACTAACAACAGAGACGTACATTCATCATCATGCCATCGACCACATTCGGGTGCTCATGTCCAGGTTCACGACGTACTTCAATAGCCTTATTCTCAGTCATGTCGAAGGAGATAAAATGTATGATATTGTCTGCCCACTTGTGTATCCTATATTGGAAACACACTACGACACTGTATATCGGGACGGTGTGTGGCGACTTATTGTAACTGCGCCATATTTTGTTTGTAATGACGAGGATTTTTTGGGCAAATTCATTCCATCGTGTTAGATTCGGCGTTGACTGCAGTGATATACGGTCGCGACGACGATAGGATGGATGAGTTCCTGCAGACGCTCGTTCGAGATGACCGGCTGGCCGCATCATGGAACTCGTTTGCGGGGTATAGGGAGGGAGAGAGAGAGAGAGAGAGA